TTGCCCCTCCTTTCGGATGACCACTCTGTTCCAGGTCCAGCTTTTCTTGAAGCCGGGTTCTTGGATGGTGTCTCTGGATCTCTGTGATGCATATTGGCACGTCCCGATTCATCCAGAGTTCAGGGTCTGGTTAGGTTTCGTTTTGGGGCAGCAGGTTTCCCGCTTTCGTTGCCTTCCTTTTGGCTTGACTCTGACACCTCGTGTATTCATGCATCTTACTTGGGTCGTGGTGACCCATTTGCGTCTGCTTGGGGTTTGGGTTCTGGCCAACCTCGATTACTGGCTGGTGTGGGCCCACTCCCAGCCGGTCTGCTTGTCTGCGTGTCAAGTGTGTGGTTCTTTCCCAGCTTACTGGGTTCGGGTTCCTGGTAACTTGGATGACATCCCATCTGGTTTCGTCCTCGGTTCGGACCTGGCTGGGCCTCATGTGGGACCATCGGATCGCTTTTCAAGTCTCTTCCTCCAGTTGCGTTACTGTGGCTTCGATGGATGGATGAAGGGAGGGAGGGAGAAGGGAGGGGGGGATGGATGGATGGATCAATGGATAGATGGATAGATAGAAGATAGATGACTGGATCGCCCGAAGTCACTTATTCCAAAATGACCCAACACAGGTGAGGAGAAAACCCTCTCAATTATAGACCTGTATCATTGACAAGTGTAATAGTCAAAATATTTATTAGAAAAAATAATTAAAACTAAATGGGTTTTTTCACTAGGAGAAAAACAATATTCTGTAATAACAGACAGTGTGGTTTTTGATCTGGGAGATCTTTTTTCTATGACTAAACAAATTTACTCAGTTTCTATGATCGAGCTACAGAGATTTTACAGGAAAGAGATAGTCAGGTTGACAGCATCTATCTGGACCTAAAAAAGGCTTTCGACTGAGTTCCACATAAGAGGTTGTTCTGGAAACTGAAACATATTGGAGGGGTGACAGGTAGGCTTCTAACATGGATGGAAAATTGTCTACCTGACAGAAAAATGAAGGCAATAATCAGAGGCAAGGTATCGGATTGGAGAAATGTCACAAGTGGAGTACTACAGGGTTCAGTTCTTGCACCGGTAATGTTCATTGTCTACATAAATGATCAACCAGATGGAATACAGAATTATATGAACATGTTTGGTGATGATGCTAAGATAATAGGGAAGAAAAGAAACTTAAATGATTGTCATGCCTTCAAGAAGACTTGGACAAAATAAGTGTAGGGAGCCGCACTTGGCAAATGGAATTTAATGTGAATAAATGCCGTGTTATGGAATGTGGAGTAGGAGAACATAGACCCCCCACACAACCTATAAATTTTGTGAGAAATCTTTAAAGAATTTTGATAAAGAAAGAGATCTAGGGGTGGTTCTAGATTGAAAATTATCACCTGAGGACCATTTAAAGAATATTGTGCGAGGAGCCTATGTCACACTTTCTAATTTCAGAATTGCTTTTAAATACATGGATGATGAAATACTAAAGAAATTGTTCACGACTTTTGTTAGGCCCAAAGCTGGATTATGCAGTGGTTGTGTGGTGCCCATATCTTAAGCAGCACATCAACTGGAAAAGGGGCAAAGACATGCTACTAAGTGGCTCCCAGAACTGAAGGACAAGTGCTATGAGAAGAGGTTAGAGGCATTAAATGTGCCAAAACTAGAAGATAGAAGAAACAGAGGCGATATGATCACTACATACAAAATGGTAACAGGAATCGATAAAATTGATATGGAAGAATTCTTGAGACCTGGAACTTCAAGAACAAGAGGTCATAGTTTTAAACTAACTAAACAAGGATGCCAAAGAAATATAAGAAAATTCACTTTTGCATACAGAGTGGTAAACGGTTGGAACAAGTTAGGTGAGAAGGTCGTGGAGGCCAAAACCGTCAGTAATTTAAAAGCGTTATATAACAAAGAGTGCTGGGAAGATGGGACACCACGTGCGTAGCTCTCATCCTGTAACTACATTTAGTAATTACACTTAGGTAATTACTACTGTATCTTGAGTGAGTACTGGTCCCTTATTTTCTAACATCACAAGTGTTGATAATTCTAATTGCCTTGATAAGGACGATAGATTAGGATTCTCATATTGAAAGTAATTAAATAAATTTATAATATTAAACTGTCCATTCGTTCTTGCTTATTCATTTATAGAGAGTTGGCAGGCCCAAGTGTCCCGTGGGCAGGCCCTAAGTTGTGGTTGCGATTGTCACATTATAAATTATCTTCCTCATGTCTTTAATTATCAAAAGTGTTTAAGAATTACTTAGATGCCAGTGAATAGTGGGGGTTAACTGTGTTCTCTCCCCTCTGTGCCACTGTAGATATTCCTGGATAGTTCGCAATAAGTGACTGCCTGGGTACGGTGCCCACCCCCCCAAGAGTAATTAACATCTTTACCTCTCCCGTGACCGGTACCCTTCGCCGTCGGTCACCGTAAAGTACTGATTCTCATCAAAGGTGAAGGTTGTGGTAGCATTATGTAATTTTTAAGTTAACTTTAAGTTATTCATAATTTGTAACAACTCACTTGGTGGCAGTATCCGTGGTGATAGCCAGGTGGATTGTTATGAATGGTGAAATAACTAAAGTAAAAGTGTTATAAATAAACTGAATTAAATCAGAGTGTTATAGGCCCACCTCAACAACTGGCTGGTGTGGGCTCCCAGCTGGCCCATGTGTCTGCTAGCCAGGGAGCTGGTTCTTTAACTGCTTGCTGGGTTCGGGTTCCTGGTGAACTAACAGAAGTCCCAGTTGGTTCCAACCTGAGTTTGGACTTGGCTGGACCTATTTTGGGGCTCTTGATTGGTGTTGAGTTTGCCACAGGTGACTTGGAGGTTGCTCGTGCAGCTGTGCAGGTGACTGAATTTTGCCTGCCCTGCATTTTTTCTGAACATGATTTGGCTTTGGCATCTGTTCTGGTATTTCTAGGGCAGCCTCTTTCACTGTTGTCGTGATTGTTGGGTGTGGGCTCCATTGGCTCTGTGTCGGCTGTTATGTCACTGGTTTCCTCTTCGGGGTTTTTCAGGTCTTGGTTCCCTGGTGCCTTCCTCCATTCTTGTTTGACGTATTCATGAATGTGTACCTGGTTGATACCTGGTTGATGGGGTTCTGGGAGTTCTTCTACTCCCCAAGCCCGGCCCGAGGCCAGGCTCGACTTGTGAGGCCAGGCTCAACATGTGTAGCTGGGATTCCTGGGATCAATGATTCCAGGAGCAAAGATTCCAGGGATCAATGTCCCCACAGCCCAGGGCCAAGCCTCCTGACCAGGCCTCCTGGTTGCTTGTCTGATCTACCAGGTGGTTTGATGCAGCTGCCCACAGCCTGACATGAGTCACAACCTGGTTGATTAGGTATCTCATGAAGGTACTTATCGAGTTCTCTTTTGAACAATGCGAGAGGGGGAGAGAGGAATCTGCCGATCTCATTGAAGGGAGAGGATTTACTTTGGTTCCTGCCTCTAAGAAGCTGGATGCTTCGGGTAGCTCTTCTGCTAAGTTCTCAGGGTTTGGCTTGTTCAAGCATGCCGTTCATGTCCAGGGAGTGTCCAACATTCTTACAGATGGTCTATCCTGGTTCCTTGTCATCTCCCTGGAATGGACCATCGATGCTGGCCCCTCCGAAACCGGGTGTTTTTCCGAAGCTCTGCCTCTTGCCTAGGGTCAGCCCAGTGATGTTCTTCTCTTGTTCGAACCTCTCTGTTCTTTGTTGAAGGTGACCCTCCTGCAGTCTTCTATGCGGCAACAGTATGAGGTTTGGGGGCACTACTTTCATGACTGCCTTTCTATTGGAGCTCCCTGGAGCTATCATCACTGATCAAGTGCCATACTACCTTGTGTCATCGGTTGCGGAGTTCTTTCTCTTCATTGTTGTTCTTCAGTTTTGGAGCATGTGGTGCTCCCTTTTCTGTCCCGGCTTTTTATTGATTAGCATCTCATGCCAAATACTAGCACCTCTTATTGTGTTGTGCTGACAGAGCTGCTTCATCTGTTATTCGGGGTCAATACTACCTTGGTCCTATTCTTTTAGTCATTGTTTTTTGTTTCTCTTGCTTCTAGTTGTTGGGGGGCTGAGCTAGATGCTTTCCTCCAGTGGAGTGAAATGAAAATTGGTTTTGGCATGAAAATTGGCATGAAAAGCAGTGGTTTTGTTCTTTTGGGTATGGTGGGCAGTTTGTTGTCCGCAGCCGGCTCCTCCTCCTCCTCAGGCAAAGAAAAAGTTGGTTGGCTTCCTGATGGGTCCTGTGGTCATTGATGCTTCTTTGGTTCAGCTGTTGTGCATCATGTGTTGTGTCCGATGGCTACTACCTTTGTGCCACTGATTCTGTTTCAGTGGACGCTTTATGGGTTGATCCTCTCACCTTTGCCTCACCTGAGAAAGATTAGCTTGTTCCAAAGCTTATCTTTTGCAGGTATTCCACAGTGTTAAGTCTATGGCACTTGCCCCCCAGAAAACTGCCATTGAATGTAATGAAATTCTGGTTTCTGGGTGGGCCTCAGTGGCTCCCTGACACCCCCGTGGTCATCAGGGAGTTGATTACATCTACCATAGAACTGAGGATGGAGATGCTGGTTGACTGGCATCATTTTTGGGAGCCTTGCCCCCCTCCCAAAAATGAGTGGGAGAGGTGGGCAAACAAGCTGGCACTAGTTTGAAGAGATTTCAAGCATTTGTTTACTTTGCTGGGAGAGTTCTTTTGTGGTTCTTAAGGCTATGGTCTTGTTTGAAGCCAGCAGTGGTTTGCTTTATCTCGCTGACTTTCTGTTGCATTCCCAGGTGGTGGCATACATAAATAAATGTCACCACTTCTTGCACCTCTGTAAGGGGGGGGGGGATGGGGGGCCAGGTTCTGGTTCTGGTGCCAGTAGCCCTATTGAACTCCGGGGCTGATGCAACCTAGTAGAATGGTACTCTATCTGTGATAGTAGTTTCAGGGAGTCACCAGGGCTCTCCAAGAAATAGGCGTTTCATTACGTTCATTGCTGTTATTTTATCAACAGAAATATAAGTGCTGGTGGGTCAGATGACGTCGTTGAAGCAATGGTGCAGCAAGAAGTGCTGACACCTTTGGCCGAGTTGCTTCAAGAGTACAGAGAAGTTTGGACACCTGTAACCACAGACCTTGGGGAAGCTACGGCGAGGGACATTGACCCCATGACCAACACTTTTGTACATGCTACTCATCTACTCTGGAATCTCTGGTAAGCTATTTGAAGAAATATTGAATGTAATGATTGGTATATAAAGTCTAGTTTTTGTTGTTATTAATGTAAATGTTTCTCTCAGTTCAAACTAGGGAAAATATATTAGGGATTAGGGAAGACCTTGTTTGCTCGGAGCTCCTTAACTATACAAATGTGGTGGTAGAGGTACTGGGAGTAAAAATAGAGAATATAAACTTAGTTAATATTCTAATATACAAACTGCCAGATGCAATGGCTGAGGAGTTCACAGAACAGATAAACCAAATAGAGAATAACCTTGATAATTTGGCAAACCCAATACCTGATATTATCTTCCTAGGTGACTTTAACCTGCTTAGTCTAAGATGGAGAACAGCAAACAATTATATTCTACCAGGAAATCTATCTGGACATAACCAACCACAGATTAGAGAACTGCCTAGACTCTGTGACAAATTTTCATTCAACCAGTAGATATCAGAACCAACTAGGAACAAAAATATTCTAGCTCTGATCTTCACAAACAATGAAGACATAATCAGGGACATTATGATCTCAGATACCACATACTCAGATCACAAGCTCATTAAAGTGCAAACTACCATTAGTACTCAGAATAAACCTAAAACAATGGTCAAGCAAGAGGGGTTATTCAGTAAATTCAGTTTTAATAATAAAAGGACAGACTGGGAAAAATAAACAGGAAACTTACAAACATTCAATGGGAAACTGTTCTAAGTAATACAAATCCTACACAAGGAATAGAAAAACTGACTTCTGAAGCATAAAAAGTCTGAAACATGTTCCTGTGAGAAAATCCAGAAAGAGATCCAATGTAGAAAGAGAATGCAGAAGACACTACAAAAGAAGGAAAAAAATAACGGAACTGCTTAACACTTCTGCGCACGGCGCAAGTGCGCCGCAGACTTCGCCATCATGCTTCTGGCGGTGAGGGCGAGCGTGCGTGACCCCGAAATGTGTATGCTCATTTCAGTTTTCTCACCTTAATTCTCGTGCTATGTCGTTCGTTTTGGTATCATTGTGTTCGCAATAGAATTCCCTACAGGGGTATATGCATATAAGATCTAAAAGCCTGGCATGACTCCCCCCACAGCAAAGCCTAAAGTCGGCCAACCTTTACCCATGAACGAGCACCAATTGGCACACCCGCAACATAATGTGTATACTCGTTCAGTTTGATAACATCACTTTTCGAGTTACGTCTTTCATTTTGGTATCAAATTGTTTGCGATATAAAGGTGCGTATTTTAAAACTAATCCCATAATAATAGAACAATAAATGTAATTTTATCAAATATTTTAAATTTTGGATCACAAAAGTATTTATAATCTTTCAAGTGTTTTGACCTCAGTTATCACGCTAAATCGTCATTATGGTATTAAATTGTGCACAATCTAAAGGTGCTCATTTTGAAACCACTCCCAGATTGATCGGATAAAATTTAAATTTTTAAAAATATTTTAAAATTATTTTAAAATAATGGACGCAAGCACGAGTTGACTGCTAGGACTCAGGAGAAAAATTTTGGATGCTAGTACGAGTCGACCAAAAACGATAGTGTTAAGCAGACACGACTTTCCAAACAAAGAAGGAATAATTTAATCGGATAGATTGAAGAAATTGAGCAGACTGAAGCATTCATATCAGATTGAAGAAAGGCAACAAAAACAGAAAGCAATTCAAGAAATAAAGAAAACCCAAAATATTTCTTCACATATGTTAAATCAGAAGCAAAAACCACTGTCAGTATTGGACCTATTCATATGAGTGAAGGTTCATACACTGAGGATAACAAAGAAATTAGTGAAATCTTAAAAATGAAGTATGAGGACATGTTTAGCACTCCAATAAACAGTATAAAAGTGGAAGATCCAGACAACTTCTTTATGTGTGATATACAAACCCTTGTAAATATATCTGACATCAACACGAGCGTAGCAGATTTTGAAAGAGAAATTGACAAACATGCCCATGCACTCGGCCCCAGGTCCAGACTCATGGAATTCAATAATTATAAAGAAATGTAAAGTACCAGTAGCACAGGCACTCGTCTGGTGTGGAGGAAGAGCTTGGATACGGAGGAAGATACCATATGCGTTCAAATCAGAAGACATTGCCCCTCTACACAAGGGTGGTAGCAAAGAGTTGGCAAAGAATTATAGACCAGTTGCACCAATGTCCCACATGATAAGAGTATTTGAGAGAGTGATCAGGCGTCAAGTCACCAATTTCATGAAGACCAATGACCTCCACAACCTAGGCCAACATGGATTTAGAGCAGGAAGATCATGTCTCTCACAGCTACTTGACCACTATGACAAAATCACTGAGGCATTGGAAGAAAAACAGAATGCAGATGTGGTATTCATGGACTTCGTAATGGCATTTGATAAATATGACCATAGAGTGATAGCACACAAAATGAGGTCAATGGGAATACAGTAACTGGTAAAGTAGGATGGTGGATACACAATTTTCTGTCGAACAGAACACAGAGTAACAGTCAACCATATAAAATTGAATCCAAGCGCAGTTTAAAGCGCTTCAAAGTACAGTCCTTGCACCACTGCTTTTCCTTATTCTCATATCAGATATAGACAAAAATACAAGTCACAGCTTTGTATCATCCTTTGCAGATGACACAAAAAATCAGCATGAAAATTACCTTGCTGAAGACATTGAAAAACTACAAGCAAATATTAATAATGTGCAGGTGATGAGTCACAATAACGTGGCTAAAGTATGATGACCAGACCACACACTAGAAGGTGAAGAGACGACGATGTTTCGGTCCGTCCTGGACCATTCTCAAGTCGATTGTGAGAATGGTCCAGGGACTTGACAATCGACTTGAGAATGGTCCAGGACGGACCGAAATGTCGTCGTCCTTTCATCTTCTAGTGTGTGGTTTGGTCATCATTAATAATGTTTTTGATTGGGCAGAAGAAAATAACATAATGTTTAACAATGATAAATTCCAGGTACTCAGGTATGGTTAAAATGAGAACAGTAAACATAATACAGGGTACAAAACACAGATTTGCCCACAGTAGGAAAGCATCATGTAAAGGATTTGGGAATAATGATGTCTGACGACCTAACGTTTAGGGAGCATAACCAAGCAAATATTGTGTCAGCCAGAAAAATGATAGGATGGATTACGAGAACTTTCTAATCCAGGGATTCCATCACAATAGTTGTACTCTTCAAATCACTTGTGCTGTCCTGTCTTGACTACTGCTTAGTACTCACTTCTCCCCTTCAGAGTAGGGGAGATTGCTGAAATCGAGGGAGTTCAGGGAACATATACGGCATACATAAATGCGATAAAGCATCTAAATTATTGGGAGTGTCTCAAAGCTCTCCAAATGTACTCGATAGAAAGATGACAAGAGAGTTATCAAATAATACACACATGGAAAATACTGGAGGGCCAGGTCCCAAATCTACACAGTAAAGCAACAACTTGCTGGAGTGAATGATATGGAAGAAAAGTCAAAATAGAACCAGTGAAGAGCAGGGGTGCCATAGGCACAACCAGAGAACACCGTACAGTATAAACATTGGAGGTCCAGGGTTGTTTAACATCCTCCCGAAACAACCGGCAAAAATATTGCTGGAACATCGTGGACATCAAGAGAAAACTAGATAGTTTTCTTCAAGAAGTGCCAGACCAACAAGGCTGTGATGGATATGTGGGCCTGCAGGCCGCTCCAAGCAACAGCCTGTTGGACCAAGCTCTCACAAGTCAAGCCTGGCCTTGGGCTGGGCTTGGGGAGTAGAAGAACTCCCAGAGCCCCATCAAGCAGGTATAAATTCCAGTTTGTTTTATTTGTTAAATAAATTTTGTTTCATTTGTGTTTATGTTAAGTTGAGTACAGTGGAACCTCGGGATACGACTGTCCCTCTTTACAAATTTTTTTGGTTTCAAACGCAATTTCGTTGGAAAACTCCCTTCCTCAACGCCTCTCTCCCTTCATCACTGTCTCCCCTCCCTCCCTCAATGCCTTTCCCCCTCCCTCCCTCAATGCCTTTCCCCCCTCCCTCACTGCCTCTATTCCTTCCTCCCTTTCGGAAAACCTGACACCATTTAGTAATATTCAGTACAATTGGCAGATAATATTGCTGCTGTTTGCAAGTAATAAATTGACTCGAAGAAGTGGCACGCTGGAATTTTCCACTCATAGAATACGAGACTTCCTCCCGTGAAAGAGAGAGATCATTGCCACGTCGTTGTTAATTTCACCAGCTAATTCTGTTGGGAAACATTCTTAATACAGTAGTCTTTAAACTGTTAACATAAAAAAAAAATCTCACTTGAATTAACGTAATTATTAACACTTTTCTACGCCCTGGACATAACCGTATGTCCTGTTTCGTCTACCGGCTTCTGCACAGTGAACATAAAATGATGTCCCCATAAAAATATTTGTATAAAATTCAATTTTAATCCGATTTACTTTGGGTTTGTTTCAAACTGCGCGCCATGAAGTTCTCTTTCTCACCACTAGGCTGCATGTTTTTTTTTTTTTTTTTTTTTACCACAGACGTGGCCACACATTTACAATGCTAACCAGCATATATACATTTTCTTCTGTCCTCCATGGACAGGGTTAGAGAAGTGTTAAACATACAGTTCAAGGGTTTCATGGTACAATAAGTTCATGAAAGGTGTGGACCACTTCGATCAAATGGTGAAGTATTACCATTTTACCAGGAAAACTCACAAGTGGACCAAAAAGATAATGTTTTATTTCCTGCAAATGGCATTGCATAATGCCTTTGTTTTGTACAAATACAACACAACTGATCGAAAAAAGCTAACATTGCTACAGTTCCAAGAGGTGGCAATTTGGGCCCTATTGCACTGGGACCCGGAAGATTGGCCTCAAACAGCAACAGTATCTCAACACTTGCGGCACGCTCCAGACATAAATGATGATGACAGGTCCTGCCTATGCTGACGCCGTGCAAACTCCCGGACCATCTTGTGTGA